TTTTTCCTCGTCTACGTTGCCGTCGTCGCTGTGGTTTGCTTAAGGTCCCAATCTCCTAACCTGGCCATTCCTCAGTGTGCCCTTAGTACTACCTTGTCGAAGTGCTTTTTGGACTCTCTGGGAAAGCTTCTTGCATCCACTTAAAATGAGCCGTACTTTTTTTTAGAGTAGTCTCACACACACACAATCTACACGGTGTTGCCCTTTCTGTCTCTTCTTTGGTATGCTTGATTGAGTTCGACCTTAAAGCTTGTTCTCGAGCAGTTACGGTCAAGCCGTCTGTCTATTCTTTATAAAATATCCATTCCTTAGTCATACTCAGGAATCTTCTTTAGCGACATCTTTGCTGTTTGCTGAAGAAACTGTCAGTGGAGGGCTTTGTCCTTTCACTTTCTGGATTTCTATTCTTTTGTCCCCTTTTGAAATTTCATCACTCTTCAACAATTGCAGCTAGTCGCCTTCTCCTGAAACGTAACTTGAGGCATGAACAGCTACATACTTTTTGAGGCAGCCGTATTAGTATTTGTTCTCCCTCCTGGCACTAAATCTCGAAATACTGTTTATAATGATAATTGAACTCAGTGGAGTGCAATTTGGGCTGAAAACATATGCTTGATTTCATAATAGAACGAGCGCCCAGCGCGAGTTCGATTTGAAATAACAAGTAGGATTTCAGACCAAAATTACACCACACGAGGTTCAATCACCACTTTATTACATCTATTTTGAAATCACCTAAATAGGACTCGCTTAGTTCAAATATTTCATTGATGCAGTACTGAGCCAGTTTGAAATTAAATTCATCCATTTTGGGAGGGGAGGGGGAGTAAGAGTTCTGGGAACAAAAGTTGCAAAATTTGCCACACGATACTCTTTGTCTTTTAGTTCAAATATTTCATTGATGCAGTACTGAGCCAGTTTGAAACTAAATTCATCCATTTTGGGAGGGGAGGGGAATAAGAGTTCTTGAAACAAAAGTTGCAAAATTGTCACACGATACTCTCTTTGAAATCTGATCGGTTATTATGTGTTTAGTGGAACCTCCTCATTGGCTGGGAAAGAGATGCAGTTTAAAGCAAAAATTGGTGTGATTCGTGAATAAATCGCACCAATGAGAGCCAATCAGATTACAGGGACCACCAGTGATTTCAAAATGAGTACAATAAATGATATAAACTACGGTGTTATACAAGGGTTTCCAGCCCTTAGAAGAGCCGTAACAACAGACGTGAAAAAATATCGTATTTTTTCACGTGTGTTTGATATCACCAATCAGCTGTTGACACGTCACTCGCCTTTCGCACCACTTGGTCAGTTTAATGAATGAAGGAGAAAGCCCTCACCATTCTCAATCCAAGATTGTTTGTCGGAATTTGCTTAGGGTTAGGCTCTTAAAACACTGAGACATCTGTATCGCTTACAGACAGTGACGTTCATACTTTCTCAGAGACGGAAGAAAACCAAAATACGGAGAGAAAAACCGAAAGTTACGTATTAAGTGGCTTTGGTAATGGCATTTCTCGCGGCTGAGAAAGAAAATCGACAACTGGAAGATTTGCCACAGGCCGATTGTGGCCGTGTACCTGAAAGATTTCTTCTGTCGGTACGGACCAAGTCAATAACTGAGAATTTTGAATATTGAAAATTACGCCCATTGTTTTGTTTTTGTAGTGTTTTAACGCTTTTTTTCATCTTGAACCTTAGCGCCTACCCGCTTTACGATTTTTATTCGGGAATTGTCGATCCTTTTACTTTCATTCATTAATAAAATTGACTTTTGATATGAAATTTCTCTTCTCGTGTTCAACTCGACATCTCACTTGTTGGCTGCGTTCACTCGTGAGCTACCGAGGTAAACACTCGACGAGAAATTCGATATCCACGCGCGCCCATGTATTATTCTTTATATATCATCAAAGTTATTAAAGTTTAATCGAACGAAAGTGATAAAGACAGCGGATGATGTGAGTTGTTCTAAGTAAGATGCAGAGTTGTCGATTTCCAAAAGTACGACTGGTGTATTGTGTGTGAACACTGAACACACAAGAAAACTTGTACAACGTCAACATAATATCAGAAAGAGAGGTAGTGCATCAAAACCCCAAACAAAGGTAGCAATGCAATGACTTCAGAAGAATTCAAAGATGTGTTTTGATGGTATTTGAGTTATTAGACGTAGAGTGAAAAACTGGAAAGTAGATCAGATAGATTGAAAACCATATATGTATATATGAAAAAAGCATACAAATGCATGCAACAAGCCCTAAAGGCATTTTGGGTCCTTTTCAGGTCACGGTTACTTAATCCTTTAACTTCCAAAAGTGGTCAACATGAAACTTCTTCTTCTGATGTTTTACATTATCCAGCAAACAGATGATGAGAATATTCAAACTTATCAAGTAGAAGTTGTTATCTTGATCGAACAAAAAACTCTTATCACTAATTTACAAGGAAGTGTCAGAGGGGAGAATTAAAAATCAGATCTTGGGAGTTAAAGGGTTCAGGATTTCAGGGAAATCGGAGAAAACGTCACAGTAGGACGAAGGAAGGCAGGTTTGATTAATTTACTTAATTATTTGACTTCTTAGAATTAATATATTACCCAGGTTACTCTTCGGGATTTTCACGTCCTTTTCCTGACAAACTTTCTCGAGATAGCTGGTCACTGCATGGTGTTATTTATTCTCAGTTATTTGAAGGAATTTTACTAGACCGTAAAACTGGTCGTAATAAAATCAGGAATGCAAAACATTTCCATGAAATAAAGGCATCTCAGAAGCATCTCATGTATTTGCTCATTACTTATAGTGTTATTTTGTCAGAGAACTGATGAACAAGTTAGCGATGAAAACGAAGAATCCAGCATGGACATTGAAGTATGAGGGAGGGCCATATAATCAATTGTAACGTTTTCTGCACTAGTAGGACAAAACTTATTATTTAATTTTTGGTATTATGGGATCTTTCTCTACCATAGCAACTTAAAAATTAGCCTTTCGCGGAAATCACGTAAAATTTCATTCAACCAGGTTTTGCGTCAGCCTAAAGATAAAAATTGTTGAAGTGCAGATGTATATTGGGGGGTTTATATTATGCTCTTAGTCATAGAAACTTTATTACTCCGATAACATCAATTATGTGGTCTTTTCTTTGAGTTTTTTCCATCTTACATTCCGTATTCCTAAGCTCATCGTTTCGTATGCTCATCTCTAACCTCATCCCAATCATCTTTTTAGTCCTCATCCTCATCTCATCATCATTCTTACCCTCATTCTCATTCTGTACCAACCTTGTCCTCATCCTCACCTTCATTCTCATTGTTTTCCTCATCCCCTGCTCATCCCTATCTTCATCCTAATGCTCATGCTCATTTGTTTTTTTCATTGTCTATCTGCGAGAGGCCATTGTGACATGATCGTGAGAAGCTAATTTATATATTTGTTCTATTAGGGATAATTCGCTGATAAAAACAGTAAAATGCAGTATCTTCAGAGATAAGATATTTATTCAATACACTGAGTGCATTTATCGGTTTTTTCTGCAAGGAAAGCTTTGTTTCCTTATCACGCGTCAGCGAGAGGCCATTGTGAAACAATCATGATTGACTTTTTTTATTTGGCCATGATGAAGTGGTTTTGAATGTAGTGTTACGGCAACTATTTAGAAAATGATATCTTAGACTATGTCGTAGAGCCAAGGTTGTCTGCCAGAAGAATGCCAATTAATAGGGCAAAGAGCAATCAATAGTGGCAATATATAAAATATCAGTGGCAATATATAAAATATCAATAAATAAAATGGAAGGCTGTGAAACATCCAAGCAGAAGCAGAAAGTGAATAGAGCTTGCTCATCTTTTTTATTATTGCCTAACGAGCAACCACGAGGTAAAAACAAGATTATCTATCAAATTTGCTTTAGGCAAGTGCTTTGCAGAGTCAGCAAAACTAGCCCTTCTAAAACAAACGCTGCATGGCGTGTGCTTTGTAAGTTAGGGAGTGGTGCAAAATCTACGTTTTAACTTCTAAATGGGTCACAAATTCCCTGCCGACCTTTCTAATGCTGACAGATGATAGCGACAAGGTTCTCACGAAGGACATGTGAACCATAAATCTGGGTAGATGAGCAAACAGTTCTTCGTTAATGCCATTCTAAATTATTCCTTTCCATCGGTCGCTTAGTGACAAGTTTTGGATCTCACATCCAAAGGCAAGCACGAAATTCCATGCATTATCAATGTTTCCCAACTCTTAGAAATATCCAGCACTGAAAAATTGGACTTCCAGGCCGTCGACCGAATATTTCCACAGTTTTGTTTAACCAGAGAATGATAATGTCAATTTTTAACCTGCGACAGATCCGTAAAGAAGATCAGCGGAGCAAGCAAGTTTTGTGAGACTAACCGTCTCTTATAATTTGAGCAAATTAGGCTGAGCACGCTGTGAACTCCGCTGCTACTAATGTTACCATTTTTGATAAGTATGGGGCTTCGCTATGCGTGCTGCGAGCTCGATGTTATGTTAAAAGCGACTAAGGACTGGTTTGATAGAGCTGAAGCAGAGTATTTTGGAAGGCTTTATAACAGTACATACTCGTAAGAAGATATTCATGAGTAGACAATACCACAAAAATTCCAAGTACTTGCCTTTAATTTGTACTCTATCATTCAAGTTTGAAACTAAGCGAAGCTAGGGTAACACTACTTTAAGGCGGGGAAAGTGGGAGGTCAAGGAAGGCCTGCCACCCCCACCCCCACCCCTCTCTATTTTTACGATTTTTTTAAATGTTCTCTGGAAGTACCAAAGGCCAGAGAAATGAGAAATCAAATTTTGAAGGGTATACGGTAATCATACCTTAGCTCTGATCTTTTTTAACCCGTTCCACAGTAGCCTAAAGTACAGGCTGGGGTATTAATCAGATGGTAAACATAGTACGACCCGCAGTTCCTCACTCGAATAATAACGGAGAATTTACAACAACTACGATATCGGAAGCAAACTGTTCTGTCAACTGCGCCTTCAGCCACTGATGGATGAGTGCCGCGCAGCCAACCTGTTCCATAAGTACCACATCTCGACATGGATAGACATTTAGTCGGCATCTTTGTTCCCGCTCTTCCTTGGAAACGAAACCAGCCAGGACCAAGGTGTTTGTCGCATCTTTTTCTTCTGGTAACGTACGTGGTTTTCCTGGTTTTGTCCGTCAATTTCGTGTATCTTCGACATTCTAAGTAATCATTAATGACAAATTGATTATTACAAAAGCTACCTTTATTTTTAGACCATTTTTCAATGGAGTGTCCAGAGTAACCCGGATTGCATTGCCTTGCTTTACCTCGCTCTGTGATTGGTCCATACAACTCACAACACTCTCTCAACCAATCAGAAGAAGTCATTGGAAGAAATATTGGTTTTATGAATCAAACTTTTCCGATATTTATCTTCCTCATATTTTTCTCGTACGTGATAAAAAAATAACTCACCTTCAGGTATGCAACTGGTTTTTCCGTCCCCCGTGTATCCATGATTACAAATACAATAGTAGGATCCAAGTTGATTTACACATGTTGCCACATCCTTGATGCACTCATGGATACCATTTTGGCATTCATCGACATCTGTAATACAGCATTTCAGGTATTAGTGATATCACCAGAAAAGTACCTCTACGGTTATTTCTTGCACTCTTTCAATATGGAGGAGATCAGATGACTTATGTGGAATTTATTGGTCCTGGATTGACCACGGTTGGTGCTTGAGATTGGTTCAGCTGACCTGCGTTCCCTATTTTTATAATGCACAATTCCCGGTACGAAAAAAGTTGACAAAATAATGTTGAAAGAAACCTGAAGAGATAAGGCAGCTACGGCGCGTTTATTAACATTATTATTTATCTTATTTCATTTCATTTTATTTACGGCAAACGCGAACGACTGAAATTCAATCTAAATTTATCCCACAGTCGTTCACTACTTAAGGAATATCGACTCAGTGAACCGAATGATTAAATATCAACGGACAATGAGGCTCCCGTTCATATTCAGCGTATGAATTAGATATTCCTGTTAATGACCTTTCAACCCCAAAATTGTACAAAGTGCACTTGAGCCACCTGTGTTGCTTGTTAATAAAAATTAAATGTAATTCCGCGTTTTCCTGCGGCCTTTCCTCCTTTTCTAGCATCTGCAGCCACTGCACCCTCGGCAATAGTAAACACATGAAAAGTCTGTGAAAATGGTTGACGCTGTTGGTGCACTCGCACACTCGTCACGTTTAGACATGTACCAAAAAGAAATATAGGACTATGAATCTGCTGAATTGGATGTCTGGAAAAATTTAGATTTTCATTGTGATCTATACAGTTTTTTCAAGGCCATTAAACCTTTCCTTGTAACCGCAGTTTAAGTGTTTGGTCGGTTCCAAACGGCACGTGATTAATTTTATGACAATAAAAGAGACTCCAAATTCAACTTGGACACAACGTGTGTAAGATGACTCACAAGTCACTAGACGGCGTCTAGAAGCATACGAGACGAGACCAAAACGGAAACAATAGAGGTGCATACATGTATAGGTAAACATGATTATGACAGCGCACGCGCAGCCTAGCCTTACCTTCGCAATGTTCTCCTGTGTATCCAGGTGGACATATACACTTATATCCCTTGTCCGTAAATCCAACCAGGCAAGTTGCGTTGTTGTAGCACTTGTTGAAGTAGCACTTATTCTGGTGGAAAATAATATAGCTAGAGGTTCTTTGATTTTTCACGCTGATTATTTCATAATGTCTATAATTGCTGAGCCACTTTGAACTAACAACAGATGATGATCAGCTGATTTACTACACGGCTGTCGTTATCGATGGCGATCTATGCTGATGAATCCTACGGGGCACCCAAGGCTATCTTTTTTTAAATTATTTATTCTATTGCAATGCTCTCAGGCTCCAGTTTGAAAAGTTTTGTCATGAATTCTCTTGATCTGATTCGGTGAGGACTCGCAGAGCGTTTAAGAAAATTGCTTGAAAGGTAAACAAGGCTGACGAACAGCAAACAATTCTTACCTTCGTGCCTCTATATATTAAGCCTGCCGTCGGTTTCAAATCATTTGGGTGTTGTAATTGGTCCGAGTCACTCAGCTGGCATATAATTTCGTCTTTTTCTCTTGGTACCATGTTGATCGATGCACATCTGTCTTCCATGGTACACCAGTTTCTGCATTGACTATACCTACGTATTCCGACTGGTAATGAAATGTTTTTAATGACGTGGCCTATCAATGCAAATCCATCTCTTGGCTCCAGAAACTTGAGACGTCGACAATCATCTGTAATTTAGGCAGGAGTGCATAAGATAGGGATCGGATCACTTACGTTCAGCGGCGAAGTAAAAAACAATTGTACCCACTTGTTCAAAGGATGGATAACGCTATCCAGTTGCTACGCCTCGAGCAACTCTTACGCATCTTTTGTGCTCTCCAAACTTCCCGCGTGCTTCATATCTCGATGAACGTACAGCTGAGGTTTCATAACAACTTTAATCCGATGGTTTAAATGTTGTTAATGTTCCCTCTGCTGCGCTTCTGCGCGTTGATAATTTTGTTTCAGGAGAACATTTCGCTACGCTGTAAACAATCTTGTCTTAGATTGGTCAAAAAACCGAGAGGTGAATTCATGCGTGTAAATAAACTCTATTTTCTGATTGATTACAAAATTCTCGAGGGATTTGGTAGCTGACGTCATGAGCGTGCACAATAGGAATATGAAGCACGCTCACGCAATTGAATTTGATCAGAGAAATTTACGCGCTATGTTATATAACATATTGTGCCCTCCGACAGATTGAGATTTATCCAGTGGATAGCGTTATTCATCTTTCGAACAACCGGAGCCTGATTAATAATTTTTCAACCCATGCAGTCTTTTGACGAGTTTGTTTTTATCGTTTTGTTTTGTTTCGCCATTGGTTTTTTTTGGAAGCACAATGGCACAGATAATAAATCTTCAAAAACGTCCATGATTACCTTATATTGTGATTTTTGAAAAGCTAAAACCTTTGGCAGAAGATACGAAAAATTTTTTAGAAAAAGTCAAAGTTCTTACAAGCACCTCACTCTAAGAAAAATTAAAAAGGAACGTAAACGAAAAAATGAGACATTTGGTGGTTTTGCACGTTAATGAAATGCATGTGTAGTCGTATTTTCTTTGGACTAAGCGAAACCATCCACGCGGTTTTTTTTCAGGTTTAGTCAGAATTTTCTGGCAACACCTTTGAAGCATTTCTTGAGACTGGCTTTGTTCGTTTTCTAGACGATAATTTGAAAGAACAGTCTAATTTTGTAGTGCATGAAGACCGAGTTAAAGTCCAACAATGATATGCGACGATGTGTGGTACCTCTCAGACTTTGAATACCAGTTGCGTACACTAACATTATGATTTAGTTTTAAGAATCACTGGGAAATTCTTGCCGGAACAACTAAAAAACTTTCGTTTCAAATATAATTCTATTTGTTTCCTTTTTCTCAAGTTACTCAAGTCTGATGAGGGTCATATCTGTTCTGATCAATTGTTCATCAGTGTTTTTCCGCAAGCTCGATTGTTTAGAGGACAAACATATGAATCGTTGACGATAATCACGAAAAATTATTTTTTTCCTCTGACTTTTAGCTCTCAATATTTATTGATAGTTTAATAGTGGAATTAATATAAATAAATTCTTACATTTAAAAAAAATTGCGTGCTCGCCTCGAGTTGCCTTCAGTGTCAATGAACTGCATGTAAATGGATATTGGTTCAACAAATTTTTCAAATTGGGTTCTTGCATCTTAATGTATCGCATATTATCTCTTAGGAACAAGTAATCATCGACTTTAAAATACATTGTCCTTTAGAATTAGTTTGAGAGCCGATTTAAAACCTTTAACATTTAGTCAGACTATCATAACAGTTGCCAGCACCTGTTTTAACGTGTGGATGGCGAAATTCACTGTGAGGATAAAATATATCTCTCAAGAACATAGTGCAAGGGCCGTGCTACTTCGCGTACTCGTAAATTTCGATTAAAAGTCGAAAGCAATGATCGTTGGGACAACACATCTCCCACACATCAGGCAAACAACCAAGAGAAGGGAAGCCAGCCTTAAAGAATCTGTAAAAACTTTCATAGAACACGCGAAAAGAATGTTAAAGTTAACTCACCATGGTTTGCAACTGTTAAAGTGTAAAACCAGCCTCCGAACAAAAAAAACAGAAATGAGAAAGAAAACATGCGGCGGCGACAGCGCCTCATCTGTAGAGCTTGTCAGAAAGAAAGTTCTTAGCCCTCTTTTGACAGTAATTCACTCTTTAAAGAGATTGTCAAAAGCATGCGAAAACTGTAACCCATAAGATGCTTATCTCTCGCAATGAGAAAAAGGAGAAATTTTATCTCCTATTGTGATTAATTATTAATCCCAAAGCAGCAGTTGTTTAGGAAGTTCTTCCAATGACGTGTTTAATAAGGAGTCTTTTTTTTTGGCTCTTCACAGAAAACAATGATAAAAACAAAATAAGTTCGAATGAATTCAAAACAGTGCTCTGTTTGACAAAAGGACTGAATAACAACTTAGTAAAATGACGGACGGGTTTCAGCGCTTCCTTGTTTAATGGCATAATTGGCCCGCAGGAGTAAAACCATCATTGAAGCTTCAACTTGTCATTATATTCAAGATAAATGCGTTATTGACCAAGTGTAAAGTAAAGACGGCTGGATATTAGCAATTCAAGCCAGCGGGGACTCTACAATACTGTTCTTCGTAAACACAGGGGATCGCGGGTGATAGTTTTAGAAGAGAAACGATACAATTTACAGTGGAACCTGTATCAAGCAGAACCGTATTAGAAGGCGATTATCAAAGTCCTGAAATTGTTTCCCTTAATTACTGCAATTTTCTCCTCCATTAAGCAGTCACCTTTATTAGGCGGTCGTGTTCACCCTTTAAGCTGGAGTAAAAAATTAACAGAGACGCTTCTGTGATACCTTTGTTTCATAGAAATGTTTTAAGTATGAGGAAAGGCTATTTAAATATCTATGGCTTAATTTATACTCGTAGAATAAAAATTGTTTGATTATTGGTTTTGGGCAAATACTTTCATCCCATTATGAGATAATTTTCTACAGTGGCTGCTTAAAATTTACATCAGTACAAAATATGCCCCTTTTTGATAATTCATATCGAATTTCACCCAGCCAAACGAATGATCTTTTCGAGTTGAAGAGTACAGATGTATGTATACTCTAAATATGTTTGGTAGGGAGTATATCGAGGTATGTGTAGTGCCTGTGGTTATATAAACGTCATTTCCCCTTTAAAATAGTTGTAGTGTCACAAATACTTCAATCGTGCCATAAATGAATGTTATCATGTCTTATGCTTGCGAAGGATGCTCCGTTACATGGACTGTATTTAAAGGGTTTGTACGGGAACTCAACACTTTTGTTTTGTTTTATTTATTTATTTTTTGTGGGTACTAAACGGTAACAATTTAGCACTAAGGTAGGACAAGATCGCAAAATGTTTACAGCACGAATATATGTAGCCTTTTCACGACAAATGAAGATTTGGCAGTTTCCTTTTGTTC